ATAAAAATAGGGCTTTCGCTTATATTCTCATTGAGTTCTTTTCACTTAGAAGTATGTAAATTTGTAAAATTTTGGAAAAACCCTTTTTTTCTTAGTGTGTGATTTCGTTTTTGACTTGGATATGCTCTTAACCATACCACGTATTCTACGTTTAAATATAGCGGCTGTATCTCCGATACAGCCTGCAGACCAAGACGAAGGCGCTGGACTGTTCCTTTTTTGTTGGTCTTTTATGCTAGTGCCAGTAATTTTTCGGTAGCTAATTTCCAAATGATTTCTAATTATAGCATACAACCTTACGTTACACCTTATCCACCGATGCCTGCGGCTGCGATGAATCCACCCAGCTATGACGCTGCTGTGGCAGGTGTAGGTACTGGTCAACCAAATAATGCAAGCAGTGGCTATGAGAAGCAGGCTCCCTACAATCCCCACTATAATGCATACTAATAAGGAAAAACTACAAATCGATGTATACATATATAGTGAATATATAATTTATACAGGCATACATGCTACATATGTACATACTTATGTATATTGTATACTTATAAATTAAGTAAGCCATATTACGATTGATAATGTTTAAGACATTGCTTTCTACAAAATGATAATTTCTTTTTCACAAAATTGAAATTAATAAGAAATGCGCAATGACGACATACAATGGAATGTATAGAGCTTCTGTTAATGAGTCTATTCAAGACAGCGAAAATAAGTTAAAAATAAATTTAAAAGCAAAATTAAACTATTCGAAAAAAAGAAAATATACCTACATACACGTACGTATGAGGATAAGAACCGGTAATATAATTAAAAATTTATATCAGCAAGATGAAGGGTATAAGCATAATTTTTTTTTGTAATTCAATTCATCTTTTATACGAGTACCATGTCGTTTGTAAATATTTACATACATCATAAATAATTACCAATTTTTTTCTTTAAATTGCTATATATTAAATTTAACTTAACCAAAGTATGCTTAGTTAACAAGGAAGTGTGAATGGAAGATATTGGAAATGAACATAACAATAATGGAAGCAATATAAATACAGAAATTATTAGTTTCAGTGAAATATTTATTGCAACAGAAGCGTAAAGTTACTTTTTTTTATTTTATTTTATATATTGTTTTCAATAAGTTAATTATAAATGAAGTATTAGATATGCTATAAAGAAATCGTAAATATGTATTATTAAATTTGGAAATTTTCAGTTGCCTGCTTCCCGCTTCCTTTAGAGCAATTTTATACGAATAAATGGAAGTGCATTAAATATTTATTCATTGCCATGAGCACAAAACTGTATTGACTGTATTTCATATAATATTTATAACAGTTACATAAAGAATAAACATCTAACTGTTGTGATATACATAGACTTATTGGAAAAAGATAAAAAATATGTTATATTTGAACTGGAATTTACATAATTTACAATCACTCTACTACAATGTAAAGTCTACTGACGAAATATAAGCGCAACAATTAAATTTAGTACAGTGGAAATTTTGTCTTGTATCCTTTATAAATTCTAAGTTCATAAAGAAAGATGCCAAAAAGTGAGATAACACAAACGAAAAATACGTAAATTCTACTGTATAATCTACATACAATTTTTCGTTTAAAAGTCAATAAAACGGTAAAATAAAAGTATTGAAAGTAAATTATGTAGTTACATGCATATTTTATTTTAATCAAGACCTGGGCGTAAGTAGTAGTTGTATGATTTTATTTGTCAACATTTTAAGCAACAGTATTTGAAATATTAGGCAAATTATACTTAATTAGGCTTAAGGTTCAGTTAAACTAGACTTAATTTACGTAACGTAACTTAATTTATTGGCCAAAGCAATTTTTTGATGTGGCTTATATGTATGTAGGTGACATCAGCTGAAAAGGGAAATACAAAAACCAAAATGTTTTCGCTTCTGGCAAAGTGGACGTGTTGAGTGATCACTGACGATTTCTTACGTAAGTTAAGTAACTAGACTAACTATACTAACTAGACTACGTATGTATGTACAATCATTGGACCAAAAATTGGCTAAGATCACTCGCTAGTCGTCTGAAGTCTACTATGTTGGGGTTTCGCCTTCTCGCAATTAGTTCGCTTCCAAACGTGTGTACAGTTGCTATCCAAAGGATACTTGGTGTAAACACCAAAGTCTTGAGCTGCTTGAACCGGATGTAAAATAATTGTTTTTGGATACTTCCTGGTGAATGGTGATCAAAAACTTTCCCACACGGAACCAACCTCCTGTATATGAAAAATACTAACTAAATACTTTATCGCGTCCGTTTCTTTAAATGATGCAGAAACGTGGACAATGTTGAGCAAAGTAGGCTTCGAGGATATTTATAAGAACAACTCTACAAAAAATCTATGGCTTTGTTCGCTTCAGCGACCAATGAAGAAGAAGCAACATTATATCGTCGTTTAAAGAACAAAACCGCGTATCGTCATTCTGCAAAACCGCGTAACTGACATTGGCTGCCAAAAATTGGATTTGCCTTGGCTCAATCCTTATCCATTCGTCCTGAAATATACTGGCCAGGAATGCGATTGCTTTATAAAAAAGAGAACCATTTTGAAATATCAGTGTTTTTACGCTCTAGAAAATAATTTCTACAATTCACATACGCGGTTTTGTATTTTGTTGATACGCGGTTTTGCACTTTAAACGACGATATGTATTTTTATAGGTTTCGCATCGAAATAATTCCACTGACACTACCTGGCGCTTCGTTACAATTGGGTTGTGCACACTTTCGTGATTATCAGGTTATCTGGTTATGTGGTTATATTTTTTATTCAGTTTACAACAATAATATGCACTAGAGAAGTATAATTTTTAACCAGATAACCTGATAGTCAGGCAAATGTGAACAACCCAAATGTTTCTAGTTCAAACACAACTATGTATACTTTTTATGCTTCCATTTCGCATTTGAAAAATTTCATTGAATCAGTGCAAATACGTGGGTATGTATGTAGGTTGCTCAAAAAGAAAGATCAAATCATTTTGAATCTTCTCCAATTCTATTTCATACCAGCTACCATAAATCTCAACATTCAAGCGATTTTGGGAGGCAGCGGCACATGAACTGCATACCTATTTTATATGCATAAACATACATACATACATACATATGTACATTAGACTGCATCACTCCCCATACAAAATAAAAAAAATATCGGTACTGTTTTTCCATTGAAATTATAAAATTGATTATATTTTAAGAAGCCCACCAAAAAATTTCGAAAAAATATTAATATTTAAGCGAGCTGGACCGATTTGAAAATACCTCCTAAAATGGAGTTTTTTATGAATAAATACAGTTTCTTAAATATGTTTTTTGAAAAAATCCCCTCAAATGACAAAACGGTTTAAGTTTAAAAAATTAACAAAGAAATATAAAAAAAAAAATTTGAATGGAATCGTAATAATGAGATTTTTGATGCTGTTTTTGAACAACTGAACCTAAACTCTTCCGATTTGGACTTGTGAGGTATCATTGGAAAGGTATTTTCTCACGCTTTTTATTTCTTTGCTAATAAGCTCATTCAAAGGATGAAAGAGAAAGGTAGGATTAACGAACATCATTCAAAGTTGAACTAAGATGTGTTGGTATTTGAAAAAAAGGGACACAAATAAATAAAAACACATAAATAAAAACAGTAGGAAAATACCTTTCTACCGAGATCCCATAAGTCTAAATCAGAATAGTTTTGGCCCAGTTATTTAAGTTTTTCGTGAATCAATCTTTGAAGAAAGCAAAAAAACAGCATCAAAAATCTCATTATTATTAAGATTCCGTTGAAAAGATTTTTAAATATTTTTGTGTAGATTTTTTAAGCCTAAACTGTTTTGTCATCTGAGGGGACTTTTTCCAAAAAGTTCTTTAATAAACTATTTTTATTCTTAAAAAACTCCATTTTTGGAGGTATTTTAAAATCGGTCCAGCTCGCTTAAGTCATAATATTTTTCCGAAATATTTTGGTGGACATCTTAAAATATAATAAATTTTGTAATCCCGGCGAAAAAAAAGCGCATCTTTTTTTGGTGATGCCGCCTAATGTACATCCATATAAGCGAGTATAAATGCCCGTTACTCATACGCACCGTTGCACACTTTGGATGCATCAGCCTAGCACTCTACTGCAATCTGTCAATGTTTATGTAATTACGCGTCACATCCGCCATAGTAACAAATTGTACACTTACCGCTTGCATACTTGCACATACATATATGTAACTGCAATTGCAGTATGCTTTCAATTGTGCAAAATAGCTGGCAGTACTGAAATTATTACGTATACGCAATGGCGGCCAGATTGATTGGATGTCTCCCTTTGGCTACTACCTAACTACATATGTATGTACATATGTATGCATGTATGTATGTACATACACGCTCGCTTTGTACACTTGGTGCATGCATTGTCTGTGTGGAGCAAAGTAAAATCGGCCAAAGCGCATGCAAATCAAATGGCCGACAATAGTCGCTAGGAATTACAACAATAGCTTCACAAAACAAAAAAAAATTGCTCGAGTGCAGAATAATAGTCCGCACTACAATAAGAAAACGGCGCATAAACTGATGGCTAAATATCCGCATTTGCTATACAACACATGGCATGCAACGCGGAGTTCGTCGTCGTCTCGGTTGGTCGGTCCAATTCCCATTTCCGGCATTAAACGTGCGGCATTGTGGAGTGGAGTGAATGCGTTGCAGTGGTTTGGCGCACAGTGGTAGTGAAGTGTGCAAATTGCTGGTAAATTTTTTTTTTCTTTAGGTCTCTAATAAAATTTGAGCCTCAGGCCACACCACTCCATATGTTATCATTGGCTTGTCATAATAGTATACATTCGTATGAGTATCCGAAGGCAGCAGTCCTACAAAATTTCGCTGCAAAAAGTTTGCATAGTATTAGTGTCCATATGGTTCTGGATGTCGTCATATCGAAGTACATATTTATTTCATGGGAGCGTGATGCCCAAATATCTCACTTCAGAGGTACAAGGTTCCAAAGGACGGGTGATAATAGCCATTACCATGGACATTCTTTCGTGATTTTTAGCCGTACTGAACTATTCCCTACTGTAATATCTGCTATTCTTGTTCGTTACCGCTCTTCTAACTATACACCTAAGAAAAGATGGCGGAACACTTCTTTTCTCTTGTGACAAGCATACCGCTTCATTTGAGCAATTTTCAAAAGCTCCTTTTATATCGTGGAAGGCACTGAGAACAATCTAGATTTCTGTAGTTAGCTGATACAGGGCTGTCTGTGTGGATCTCCTTGTCGTGTAGGCATGTTGGCTACAGTGTAATGGTCTAACTGTCCGAGTGGCCTTTTCCACAAAGCTTAATCCTAAAGTATTCACCTACTTTCTTAATATCACGGAACGTTAACGGGACTCTCCTCCACACTGCTGGGGGATGTAGGCTAGCGCAGGGCTAACCTTCCTCCATATCTCTACTAAGTGTGCGGAAACTAGATCCTCTCCCTGTTTTTAAAAAGACGAATAAGTTCGATTCACACCTCGATGCTGGCAGGCGAGAAGATACCACTACCACAATCAGATGGGGTTGATCCGAATGTCCAAACATGAGTCCGGAAAGTGCATGGAGAGTAGAACGCGTACTCTTTCTATCTATTCCTAGTTGAGTCTTATCCGCTGCTAGGGCTTTATTTTGGTTCACTTCAATCTACGAATGGAATCACTGTTCAATTGCACCATGCAAGCTGACGCATAGTTGTTGTCCATTTCGCTTTGTCGCTGCTGCTGATATGTCTGATGTTAATTTGCATACACACATACATATATAACAAGTCAAAATACAGACGTCAATATACTCACACAAAAGCAAATATGGGCATGGTCAAATGCTAGCAACAAATCTGCGTCGGTTATTCTTGAAATGGTTATATGCAGTTTGTAAGCATGGCTGTATGTGTACATTTGTATACATACTACATGCATGCGCGTACCTTATGTATGGAGCATTAGAAAAGGCATCGTACAATATGCTATGGCGACCAGCAACAACATCACCATCCTTCCATACCATAGTAAAGGAAGAAACCAAAAACAATGAAGTGCTCGCTTACTAGCCACAATACAATGGAATTTTGCTTTTAGTGTAATTGACTTGGGGAACAAAAGCTACGATTCTCATCTGCTCTCCACATT